AATTATGTGTGAGGTGCATGTTAACTAAAAATACTCAAAAGGAACAGCCAAGAGTATAAAATATTAAAAAAAAAGAAGTTGAATTTTTTTAAAACTGTCATATTGCACCAATTCCCATATACTAGAAAACAACTAAGTAACTTCGCTATATCCGGATGGGAAACATTTCTTCTACGTCTGACATTCTGCGATCAACGCTTTTAGAAGACTAAAATGAAATGAGGTTTCAAGCAGGGCTTCTGATGATGCGAGCACATTTGGCCTCAAATCGCATCCGTTCGCACAATTTCAGGAAAATCGCACAATTCGTAAAAAATGCTAAATTGAAGTAAAGTATACAATAAATTTTAACTTTAACTAAACATTTTCCCAATCTTAAAGTTATTTAAGGCGATTTACCATTAAAGAAAGCCTTGAGAGACATCATAGGCAACCACTGCAGCCATTCACCCGATTCACGCAACCCCTGTGGGTGATACCCGCTGAAAATGGACCAAATTACGCGGGCATCACCCGCTGAATTACGTACTATAGTACGTCCAATATGGCGGTCCATAAGCTACACAACTATCTGTTCAAGTAACCGTCATATTTTAGATCAATTTAAAAAAATTTCCCCTTTTTGAAACAGCGGAAGATAAATAGACTAAACACGAACATATATTAAAGACTATTTGATATAAAAAATGCAAATTTTCAAACAATTCCAGCCAATTCCGCATTCATCGAAGACGAATATGAAATAAGGCGAAGTTACATTGCTCAAAGTAAAGTTTTACTTCATTGTGTTGGGTTAAAATCCATCAGTGTTTCGCGATAAAACGTTTTTAGTAGACAGTTGTAGTTTTCAAGGCGGAAAAGGAAATATTCTGGGTTTCGGGAGTGCGCTCTTGGTCACGTCCTATAGGATGCCTATCCACGGGCGTTTTTAAGGCGGGCAAATTCGAGGAAGAAATTTTATTACAGTTCCCCCAAAATGAAATGTATTTCTATGATATTGACATGAAACTATTCAGAATCGTGTAACAGAAACGTTTTAAGGAAAAACCTGGTCTTCCAAGGGCGTAAAGTAAAGAATTTCTGAATGGCGAGTGCAGCGTGTGTGACATCCTATAGGATGCCTATCCACGGGCGTTTTTAAGGCGGGCAAATTCGAGGAAGAATTTTTAGTACAGTTCTCCCCAGATGAAATGTATCTCTATGATATTAACATCAAACTATTCAGAACCGTGTAACAGAAACGTTTAAAGCAAAAATCTGGTTTTCCAAGGGCGCAATGTAAAGAATTTTGGAATGGCGAGTGCAGCGTGTGTGACATCCTATAGGATGCCGATCCACGGGCGTTTTTAAGGCGGGCAAATTCGAGAGAGAACCTTTTATTACAGTTCGCCTCAAATGAAGTATACTTCTATGATATTAACATCAAACTGTTGGGAATCGTGTAACAGAAACGTTTTAAGCAAAAATCTGGTCTTCCAAGGGCGCAAAGTCAAAAATTTCTGAGTGGCGAGAGCAGCTTATGCGACATCCTATAGGATGCCTATCCACGGGCGTTTTTAAGGCGGGCAAATTCGAGAAAGAAATTTCATTACAGTTCCCCCAAAATGAAATGTATTTCTATGATATTTACATCAAACTATTCAAAATCGTGTAACAGAAACGTTTAAAGCAAAAATCTGGTTTTCCAAGGGTGCAAAGTAAAGAATTTTGGAATCGCGAGTGCAGCGTGTGACATCCTATAGGATGTCGATCCACGGGCGTTTTTAAGGCGGGCAAATTAGAGAAAGAACTTTTTATTACAGTTCGCCTCAAATGAAGTATACTTCTATGATATTAACATCAAACTGTTGGGAATCGTGTAACAGAAACGTTTTAAGCAAAAATCTGGTCTTCTAAGGGCGTAAAGTAAAGAATTTCTGAATGGCGAGTGCAGCGTGTGTGACATCCTATAGGATGCCTATCCACGGGCGTTTTTAAGGCGGGCAAATTCGAGAGAGAACTTTTTATTACAGTTCGCCTCAAATGAAGTATACTTCTATGATATTAGCATCAAACTATTCAGAATCGTGAGAGAGAAACGTTGAAAGAAAAAAACTGGTCTTCCGACAGCGCAAAGTGAAGTATTTTGGAATGGCGAGCGCAGCGTGTGTGACATCCTATAGGATGCCTATCCACGGGCGTTTTTAAGGCGGGAAAATTCGAGAAAGAAATTTTATTACAGTTCTCCCCAGATGAAATATATCTCTATGATATTAACATCAAACTATTCAGAACCGTGTAACAGAAACGTTTAAAGCAAAAATCTGGTCTTCTAAGGGCGTAAAGTAAAGAATTTCTGAATGGCGAGTGCAGCGTGTGTGACATCCTATAGGATGCCTATCCACGGGCGTTTTTAAGGCGGGCAAATTCGAGAAAGAAATTTCATTACAGTTCCCCCAAAATGAAGTATACTTCTATGATATTAACATCAAACTGTTGGGAATCGTGTAACAGAAACGTTTTAAGCAAAAATCTGGTCTTCCAAGGGCGCAAAGTCAAAAATTTCTGAGTGGCGAGAGCAGCTTATGCGACATCCTATAGGATGCCTATCCACGGGCGTTTTTAAGGCGGGCAAATTCGAGAAAGAAATTTTATTACAGTTCTCCCCAGATGAAATATATCTCTATGATATTAACATTAAACTATTCAGAACCGTGTAACAGAAACGTTTAAAGCAAAAATCTGGTCTTCTAAGGGCGTAAAGTAAAGAATTTCTGAATGGCGAGTGCAGCGTGTGTGACATCCTATAGGACGCCTATCCACGGGCGTTTTTAAGGCGGGCAAATTCGAGAAAGAAATTTCACTACAGTTCCCCCAAAATGAAATGTATTTCTATGATATTTACATCAAACTATTCAAAATCGTGTAACAGAAACGTTTAAAGCAAAAATCTGGTTTTCCAAGGGTGCAAAGTAAAGAATTTTGGAATCGCGAGTGCAGCGTGTGACATCCTATAGGATGTCGATCCACGGACGTTTTTAAGGCGGGCAAATTCGAGAGAGAACTTTTTATTACAGTTCGCCTCAAATGAAGTATACTTCTATGATATTAACATCAAACTATTGGGAATCGTGTAACAGAAACGTTTTAAGCAAAAATCTGGTCTTCCAAGGGCGCAAAGTCAAAAATTTTGTGAGTGGCGAGAGCAGCTTATGCGACATCCTATAGGATGCCTATCCAAGGGCGTTTTTAAGGCGGGCAAATTCGAGAAAGAAATTTCATTACAGTTCTCCCAAAATGAAATGTATTTCTATGATATTTACATCAAACTATTCAAAATCGTGTAACAGAAACGTTTAAAGCAAAAATCTGGTTTTCCAAGGGTGCAAAGTAAAGAATTTTGGAATCGCGAGTGCAGCGTGTGACATCCTATAGGATGTCAATCCACGGGCGTTTTTAAGGCGGGCAAATTAGAGAAAGAACTTTTTATTACAGTTCGCCTCAAATGAAGTATACTTCTATGATATTAACATCAAACTGTTGGGAATCGTGTAACAGAAACGTTTTAAGCAAAAATCTGGTCTTCTAAGGGCGTAAAGTAAAGAATTTCTGAATGGCGAGTGCAGCGTGTGTGACATCCTATAGGATGCCTATCCACGGGCGTTTTTAAGGCGGGCAAATTCGAGAGAGAACTTTTTATTACAGTTCGCCTCAAATGAAGTATACTTCTATGATATTAACATCAAACTATTGGGAATCGTGTAACAGAAACGTTTTAAGCAAAAATCTGGTCTTCTAAGGGCGTAAAGTAAAGAATTTCTGAATGGCGAGTGCAGCGTGTGTGACATCCTATAGGATGTCTATCCACGGGCGTTTTTAAGGCGGGCAAATTCGAGAGAGAACTTTTTAGTACAGTTCTCCCCAGATGAAATGTATTTCTATAATGTTAACATCAAACTGTTTGAAATCGTGTAATATAAACGTTTAAAGAAAAAATCTTGGCTTCCGAGGTCACAAATTGACGATTTCTAGTATGTCGAGTTTATCCTTGGTCATATCGCATGATGCCGATTTTTTTTTTTTTTGCAATTTCCATTAATTGAAGAGTATTTCTTTAATATCACCCTTAAAACGGATATTTAACACTATTGATGATTTTGCAGATATCCATATTTCGTAATCACTACTGCTCTGATTGATCAGAATTGCCGGAGAGAGTGACACGCTATCAGCAATAGTTTGCGCAACACTGCTAAGTCAGGTACCGAAACAGCGCCTTTTTGCGTAATTCTGCTACCAAGGTTTCTCTTAAGGCTAGCGTTTTAACATTTGACCAGTTTAGTACTGAGCTAATTTTTTTTTTCTCACTCTATCAAAATGTCTTCTGTGTCTACAACTGAGAATTCAGCACGGTAAGTGTAGAATTCCTTATCACGTGTAAATTTTAGTTTTGCTTTCCGTACACTGTACTCAGTGACATATCACTTTCAGACGCGTTACTGTGTCTTAATGTTTGTTTTTTAGAGTAAACAAGTCACAGTTAAATGGATACAACCTTTTCTGCAAAGAGACTTCTGTCTTGGATGGTTGGTTTGGTTTGGATACATTTTTGTTTGATCACCTAGGGGTGACAAAATCAGGATATATAAATCAGGGGCACCCAACGACGGTTTCCTCCTAAATGCATGGAAACCACTTTTCAGGCTATCCAGAGGACTCATTAGGTTTCTAGAGATGTATTCTAAACGGCGCTATAAAATTTTAGTTTGTTCGGTGATCTAGGGCAACTGGAGTCTTTTTGAAAATACAAGGGTTTCAGTAGGATTTTCCCGAACATTTTTGATGAAGGGGTTAACTGAATGTCAGTGTCACGCAATTTCATACCGTCTTTTTATTATATGACCGGGACGAATGCTCATTCTGTATAAGTATGTATTCTAGGGAAATTGAAAACGAAATGCCAGCGTCCTTTATTGCCTTACAGAAGGTACAAAACAGATGACTTTCGCTGAGAGGAATGTTTTCTTATCGGGAAGTGGAAAGAGCTTTCTGAAGAGGAACGAAATGAATTTAACAGAAGAGCCCTGTCTGAAGATGTGATAACAAAAAAGGAACAGATAAAAAGAACTTTAAAAAAAGTGAAACGGGAGGTAAAATTTTGACTAATTGAATAAATAATTATAGAATTGAACTTTTCCAACGTAATGCTAAGTAACTTAGACGATCTATGCAAAGGTGGTAAATGCCCCTTTTGCATATATACCTAGGTACATTCAATTATCACTTTTTACTGACTTACACTCCGTCCTTTCTCCCCGCACATCCTATGTAAACAGACCTGATTCTGAGGTTTTGTCAATATGAAACTTGACATACTTAGTTGTTAAACCTTGTTCTTAGTAGAAATTCTTCGTCTTCTTCTTCTTCTTCTTCTTCTTCTTCTTCTTCTTCTTCTTATTATTATTATTATTATTATTATTATTATTATTATCATCATCCACGTTAAACACAGCTTTTGGATGGCTTGATAGATGATTTTTAATATTATTATAAATAATAATACTAATAATATTAATAATAACATGTTTAAACAGGATGACCATTTCAGTTATAAAAACTGCTATCAATATCGGTCCTGTATAAAATAAATGAATAAAGAGATAAAAACGTAATTATATACGAAACTGGAATACATTACATACTTATAATCAGTAAAAAAAGGCAGCCTCGGTATGAACAAGAGTGCATACAATCGTTAAAAAATGGTAGCCCCCTTATAAAAAAAAGACCCTATTATTATCAATTAATTAAGTAATATTTTGTTATCATCGCGGCTAATCTCTCGAAATGTTCTTACATTTCGATATCTCTCTTTTGTTCGTCAGTGTGACAATCTCAAGGATTTAGGGGTAAAGTGCCTTTTTATGTGCGACATGGGAAAAGGCGACGTAGATGTTTTTGGTCACCCGAGAGCGATTCAGTTCGTGGAGAGCAACCGGCTTGCCCCCAAGTTCTACTCGTTTGTAAATGGAGACGGTAATTAAGTGTCAGATATGATTTTCAACAAATTCAGTAAATCTTTAGTAGCAATAGAATTCTTACAATTTACCAGTGCAGTGGACTTCCTTTAATTAATACCTGCAACATTTTTACCATTTTCCGTCCACTTTTCCCAGGAACGCCAAGGGAAGAGAGACAGGGTACCTCTACGTCTGAAAGGGAGGAATTGCGCCAAAAAGTCTCAAAGCTATTCAACAGTAAATACAGTAAGTAATCGTTTGTTGTTGTTGTTTTTTTTGTTAATTTTATTTCAAACTTTACACTTCTGGGCCGAGTAGTTCGAAGGCCTATTAGCGCTTAACCCGGGTTTCTTTTTCTTGTGTTCAAAAGCATTTTCTGAGATAATTCTCTCTGTTAATGTTACAGCTTTCAATCATCAACTTGTAGACTTAAAAGAATTAAAACTGAAATGCTTTTTAAGCTTTCAAATCTGAATTCAAATCTCGCACTAACCCTGGGTTATCTTAACCCAGCTTTGAACAACTCGGCCCTGGTTGACAGTCTTGTAGTTGGTTTATTCCGTGAAATTGCCTTTTTGAAGAGCTTACCTTGTTATAACGTATTTAGCCCGATTTATGAAATGTATTATTTAGTGGATTGTTTCAATCTTGCTATTCATCCTCTGTTACGTCACCTACAGAAAAAAAAACGATTAAAATGTTATATCCCCGAGCTAGTAAAACTATGAAGTTAAAAAATTCTTTAATAGTGATGTACTAACATACGGGAACTTTTCAAGGGCAAATTTACGTTTATTCAGTCCTTTTTTTCGTCGTTCTCTTTATTGTTGTCTGCCCCATAATATTTGCGTATGCTTTTGCTTGAAATAGTCATGATCAAACCAGTTTTTTCTTTCGTGGAAAACAAAGAATCGGTGCTGATTCAATTTTTTGTGATTTTGGTTTTGTAGGCGTAGCCTGCGGTAGAACAGATTTGAGGGTCCCTTATAAAGATATCAAGGACAATAAGATATCTTTGGAAGTGTTACATATGGGTTCAATTCCTCTTAAACACCCATCTAGTTATGGGGTGGGAACATTAAAAAGAATAATATCGTTCAAAGACGATATTATTTTTAGGCTAAATAACCCAGCCTCCATCCCATCAACTACCAGTTCCACCACCACCACTACTCTTGGCATGAGTACGTCATTGTCAGTGCCTCGAGTAGCAGCAACAACCTCCGTGTCTGTTACTACACACAACCAAAGTTCATCAGCAACGTCGTCGGCCCCTGGAGTAGCAACACACAACCAAAGTTCATCAGCAACGTCTTCGGCCCGTGAAGTAGCAACAACAACCTCCTCAGTTACTACAGGTAACCAATCTTTATCAGCAACGTCGTCGGCCCGTGGAGTAACAACAACAACCTCTTCAGTTACTACACATAACCAATCTCCATCAGTAACGTCGTCCGCCCCTGAAGTAGCAACAACAACCTTAGTTACAACATCGAACACAATCACATCTACAGAAACAAGACCCACCTCCTCTGTCCGTAGAGTAACAAGATCAACCACCTCTAATGTAGCCTGTAATCCATCCTCCCTCCTCCTCTCGTCTACCGTTCAAGCCATTGCATCCTCGTCCACCGCTGCTTTGAGCAGGAGAAAAAGAAAAAGAAGACAACAGAGTGAAGATGAAGGTGAAGAGGAATGTGATAAGTGTGAGGCTTTTATTTGTCAGGCAAAAGGAAAGGAAGTAAGAACCAGGAGTTGGATATTTTGCGAGACGTGCAAGAAATGGTTTCATTTTGATTGTGTCGGAATAAGAAAAGCTCCTCCTGGTGATTACAATTGTGGATGTAACAAAAGGCAGATAAACCGATTGTAAGTATTCTATAATTTGCGCTTATTCAAATCCGACATTCTGCTTCCCCTTGCAGCCTTATTTTCTTTAGCATGTGTTATCAGAGATGTTATGAATGATTGTCAATACCCAGAATACCTACAGCTGATAACCCTCGAGTTAATTTGTTCCTTTCTAGCTTGGTATTAAGGCCGTCTTAATCATATTAAAAGTAAGAAATTCGCCTTTTCATTTTTTTACTTACGTGGAGATGTGACTGTGACCTTGTTTTCATTAACAGCATTAATTATTTGATTTGTTTACAAACAGGAATTACCCATCCAGTATGTCTTTTATGCAGAGTCCTGACTTAAAAGGTTTAAAGGTAACATCTGCTACCCACCTGTGGTTCGCTGTTTCCGCATCTTCTTGACTCCTATTTTTATTATTTTATTTTTATAAGATGTAATCTATCATTTACGTTTACTTTGTAAACGACATCAATGTTGTTACTTTCTTTTTATTGACTGTTCACAGAACTACATCAAGGACATCAAGGATGGAAATATAAGTAGCCTCAGAGATACTCTGTTCAGCACAGCCAACCGGAGAGCGGAACTACTACATTTAAGTAGTGACTGTTCGACATTTTTTTCTTCATCAATGGTGAGTAAATAACAATTAAAATATAATAATATGCGAGTCCTGTTCAACTAATGAATTCAGCGTTGTCCCTAACCCTCTTCCTCGCAAATCTCACGTTTGCAGCTTCATTTTAACAGTGTTTTAAAAGAATTTTTACCCTAATAAAAACGAATTTCGTTCGTAAACGTATGATTAATTCTTATTGTTGGTTTACCTTCCTTTTTACACTTTAGATGCGAAGGTTCACAAACGAAATAAAAGGGATTGTGTCTGAGAACTGGTCCGGGTTCAACGACTCCAACACGCTCATGATGAACTACGTCCTACAGGTTTTAGTTCCTGAGGTTAGTTTGTTCAATTAAACACTTCTGATCCCTTGAGAGTTAAAACTATTATTCAGTTAATTGTCGTAATTTTTTAAATCTCTTATTTGTCATTTCAGGCCCTAGTCTATGTCGTCATGATTATGGAAGACTGGTCGCGACAAATAGCCGAGCGTTTGTTCTGGGGTCATGGTCATGTAGAACGAGATGATGAAGACGAAGATTAAACGAGAAATTCTTCAGATCGGACTTTTAAACATCTTTTATCATTATCAAATGAGGGGATTTCCGAGGCCCCCTTAAAAAAAAACGTGAATAAAATAAGTAAGAACAAATAGGAAAATGGAATAAGTCATAAGAGGATGCTCAGGAAGCACAAAATACTACATGTTAACTGCTAAACACAATCTACCATTCGGTCAATTTAAATTCATTTTCTGTTTTTATCTAATTCGTGAAAAGCCTGATCGAATTACTCTAACAGCTGTCGCTAAGTTCATAGCATATAACTAAGTGTTATAATTCATCAAAGATTATGTTAAACATTTCTAAGTGTAATAACGTAATTCAATAGGCAAACTAGAAACAACCGCTTTTTTTATATTAATGAGGTGGGTTTGATACCACCTTTGAGTATATCCTTGTATATCCCTCTAGTATGTCCCTCGTCAAAGCCAGCGAAAAGCGCCCTGTTATTTTAGATGAGCGTGAAGTCAACGTTTCAGAAATTTTAATTAACATGATATAGGCTCCCAGTAATGTGTATTCCGTAAACGCACATTTAATATAGACTAAATTATAATCCTTGTGGTAGTAGTGTGATCTTGAACGAACTGATTATTTTTGCGCCGGACGACTGAGTTAAGACAAATAGTTTGTACTGTTCCCATTCTATTTCCTTCATTTTCAAATAATTAAAGATTTGTAGAGACATGTATTTCAGTTTAGGCTAAATGTTTTTTTAATTAGTGATTGCAAATAAAATAAAACAAAATATTCCAAGTAATACACGTGTGTCGTCCGAGTGGCTCATCGAAGGACGACTACAGGGTGGCCGCATAATACAGGTAACAAATACAGGGTCTGTATTAGCGAAAAACCGGGACTTTGAAAACCGGCGGCTTACTAGAGGGTGGCGGCTTAATACAGGGCCGTTAGCTACAGGTTCAACTGTACCAAAAAATGCATTGTTGACCCAATCTTTCGTACAAACTGGAGGGAAAGGCACGATTTCACGGCAACGCATCTAAGTACCCCAAAACGCACTATTGACCCTGTCTTTCATGCAAAATGGAAGTTACGCCCCGATTTAAGTACCCAAAAATGCACCGTTGACCCTATGTTTCATGCAAAGTGGAGGGAACGGCACGATTTGACAGCAAAGCATCTAAGTACCCAACAACGCACTGCTGACCATGTCTTTCATGCAAACTGGAAGGAACGGCCCGATTTTATGGCAGGGCATCTAAGTACCCAAAAATGCACTGTTCACCCTGTCTTTCATGGAAACTATAAGGTACGGTGCGAGTTTACGGCAAAGCATCTAAGTACCCAAAAATGCACTGTTGACCCTGTCTTTCATGCACACTGGAAGGTACGGCCCGATTTTACGGCAGGGCATCTAAGTACCCAAAAATGCACCGTTGACCCTATGTTTCATGCAAACTGGAGGGAACGGCACGATTTGACAGCAAAGCATCTAAGTACCCAACAACGCACTGCTGACCATGTCATGCAAACTGGAAGGAACGGCCCGATTTTATGGCAGGGCATCTAAGTACCCAAAAATGCACTGTTGACCCTATAATTCATGAAAACTGGAGGGAACGGCCCGATTTTACGGCAAAGCATCTAAGTACCCCAAATTACACTGCTGACCCTAGCCTTCATGGAAACTATAAGGTACGGTCCCATTTTACGGCAGGGCATCTAAGTACCCGAAAATGCACCGTTGACCCTATCTTTCATGCAAACTGGAGTGAACGGCCCAATTTTACGGCAGGGTATTTAAAGACCCAAAAATGCACTACAGATGGTGGCGGCAAAATACCGGGCCGTTAGACACAGTTTCAACTGTACCAAAAAATGCATTGTTGACCCAATCTTTCATGCAAACTGGAGGGAACGGCACGATTTCACGGCAAAGCATCTAAGTACCCAACAACGCACTGCTGACCATGTCTTTCATGCAAACTGGAAGGAACGGCCCGATTTTATGGCAGGGCATCTAAGTACCCAAAAATGCACTGTTGACCCTATAATTCATGAAAACTGGAGGGAACGGCCCGATTTTACGGCAAAGCATCTAAGTACCCCAAATTACACTGCTGACCCTAGCCTTCATGGAAACTATAAAATACGGTCCCATTTTACGGCAGGGCATCTAAGTACCCGAAAATGCACCGTTGACCCTATCTTTCATGCAAAGTGGAGTGAACGGCCCAATTTTACGGCAGGGCATTTAAAGACCCAAAAATGCACTACAGATGGTGGCGGCAAAATACGAAGCCGTTAGACACAGTTTCAACTGTACCAAAAAATGCATTGTTGACCCAATCTTTCATGCAAACTGGAGGGAACGGCACGATTTCACGGCAAAGCATCGAAGTACCCAAAAACGCACTATTGACCCTGTCTTTCATGCAAACTTGAGGGAACGATACGATTTCACAGCAAAGCATCTAAGTATCCAACAACGCACTGCTGACCATGTCTTTCATGCAAACTGGAAGGAACGGCCCGATTTTATGGCAGGGCATATAAGTACCCAAAAATGCACTGTTCACCCTGTCTTTCATGGAAACTATAAGGTACGGGCCGAGTTTACGGCAAAGCATCTAAGTACCCAAAAATGCACTGTTGACCCTGTAATTCATGAAAACTGGAAGGAACGGCCCGATTTTACGGCAGGGCATCTAAGTACCCGTAAATACACTATTGACCCTATATTTCATGGAAACTGGAAGGAACGGTCCGATTTTGCGTCAAAGCCCTCAAGTACCCAAAAATGCACTGTTGACCCTATATTTCATGAAAACTGGAGGGAACGGCACGATTTCACGGCAAAGCATCGAAGTACCCAAAAACGCACTATTGACCCTGTCTTTCATGCAAACTTGAGGGAACGATACGATTTCACAGCAAAGAATCTAAGTGCCCGAAAATGTACTGTTGACCCTATCTTTCATGAAAACTGGAAGGAACGGCCCGCTTTTACGGCAGGGCATTTAAAGACCCGAAAACGCACTTTTGACCCAACCTTTCATGGAAACTAGAGGGTACGGCCAGATGTTACGGGAGAGCATGTAAGTGCCTGCAATGCACTGTTGAGCAAACCTTTCATGGAAACTAGAGGGAACGACCAGATTTTACGGCAAAGCATCAAAGTGCCATAAATGCACTGTTGAGCCTATCTTTCATGCAAAATAAACAAACAACCAGATTTAAATGAAAAAGTGGGATGGAAGAGCCTTAAATGCATTGTTGGCCCTATATTTTGTGCTGGAGGGAACAGCCCGATGTTACGGCAACCGTGGAAATGCCAGCCTTCCTGCCGTGTATCGGAAAATAACATGACAAATCAAAAGAGCGCACTGGCTCAACATTCAATAAAAGAAATGATGCACACCCAATTAAACCCGGAAAACTGTTATTTTTGGTATATTTCGCGGTTATCCGGTAAAAAAAAATGGTGTAACCACTCATTTGTTTACCAAGTCATTCAAAGTCTTCACTTATCCACATGGGGCACAAATGGCGAAAACTACTTAAAAATCGACCGATTTCACAGCAATTCATTCACCGCTTCAGTTCGTTAAATCAATAAAGAAAGAAATTCAAGAAATAAATTTATTGAAGTTGTAATTGAGGGGTAATTTACAAAGGGCTGGTACTTGCGGCCTTATAATTAGCTACTTTCGGGGTTACTCGGAAGATAGCAAACTGACGTTACTTTCGGGTAGCCGTTATTTTCGAGGCTAGGGGATCCTTAGTTTGGGAGCTCAACGTTAGGTTCTTGTATTTTGGGGGTACTTATCGTCAGTTAAATTCTCAATTTCTATAAAGGAGATATAGTTGTTGACTGATAGAAAAAATTAACATACGTGAGTCTTGTTCTGAAATATACGTTAAAGTTAATTTTTCTTTATCTCGGGTAATTTTCACTTGTCAACTTCATGAGCATACATTACCATACAAAAGAAATAACTGAGATAAAATAGTGACTTCAACATAGGCAATATTTATGGACAAATATACATTGCAATATCCTTTATGCGATGCCCATTTATGAAGACAAATTTATAGCATGTAATTATTTGTCTTTATATCAACCTCTTTTTACATTGATACTTTTATTAGTTAAGACAGTTTGTTACCGTGACCTTATTCTTATGTAATATAAATATGCAGTCCCAAAATCAAACTCATTGGTTAAAACCTTTTGGATAATTAAAGTCCAACACACACTTAACAACCTGCTTAACCTACAAGTAACTTGTACAAAAAGGTTCTTGTATGTTTGGCATGACAGTTGCAAATTTACAACAGGAGGTTCGCAATCGACTGACAGCGGCACCCAACGACTGTTTTCTGTAAAATATCTCTTTAGGAAAATAATACTAAAGCCCTTGTAATTTCTAAAAGACTCAATTTCGCCAAGGAGCTCCGAACAGATAGAAACCTTATAGGGCCGCTTAGAATGCAATGCATTTCAAGACATCTAAAAGTACTCGGGATAGCCTGAAAAGTATTTTTCATGTTCCTTTTTAGTGTCCCTGAATCCACTTGGTTTTTATGTGTCTGTCTACCGTACGCTATTGAAACAAACACACACTTCTTTCCAGCTGCCCCCGAAAAATTCCGCATGTTTACCCCACACACTAATTTAAAAGCACGACATTAAGGAGCCGGATTTTCCCATTCATTAGAAAATTGGATGAAATAGCGGGAAAAGCGTTCTTGGCACAATAGTCGATGAAAACTAGTAGAAAAACAACGATTTCACAACAATTCACCCAGGTGCTTGACCAATTTTCATTTACTAGAAAATGGGAGCATCGTATTTCGCGCAATAATTCATGCAGACTAGTAACGTGGAAATTAGGATTGCGGACGTCCAGAGGAGCCCAAAATATAGTAGACTAGTTAACGCTTTTCTAGTTTACAGCAATATTCCCGAAGAACTGAAAAAAGCACTGTCAGTATCGTCACAATCGCTCTCGCAGTC